AAAAAAAAAGTTAAAACATTTATAAAAATACAATTAAAAAATCTAAAACACAAAGAAATGTCAGAGCAATGACATTCAGTTTTTTGACAAATAACGCATAACCTCCAATATAAAAATAAATATATTTGAATCATACGTATTTATAACAAACAATAAATTGATGTGAGTCATATAAAGGACATCATTTCAAATATTTTGTTAATCATGCAATTAGAATAAACGTTAGGAATAACATTTCTGCAAATTACGCACACAAAAAGCTCAAAATACAATCATGTTTGTGTGTTAATATTTTATTCAATAAGCACCTTTCAGAGTCTTCAGGGTGTCGATTTGAATTGCTCATGGAATCAGAAATGAATATCAAATATAAATTAATTTAATGAGTTTTTCTTTATATATTTTATTTTCGCGCACCATGTCACAGACCACTCACGAGTTCAAGTGTATTATTTATAAACGATTTTGTGTTTTTGACCTTACTTCTAGCATGTTCGAAAATACATCTCACAATTTAATATTGCGATTTCATAGACGAAGGATTCACAGAATTGGCCTAGTTAATTTTAATAGAGTTTTTTAATAAGGCGTTTTGAATTGTGTAATTGCACACGAAAAACCTTTTTGACAATGATTATTAAATACTTAAATTTTGTTAAAATTTGAAATCACGTGGAATTAAAATTAATTAAGAACGTTATCTTTTATGTTTTTTGGGGTTTCTTACATTCTCAATTGTCAAAAATCGTATTCTAATTCTTAAAATAGAGGGGTGGTATGATTTGTCAATAAAAGCTCTTTTACATTCTGGCAACATTTAAGCAAAGCTGGGTGGAAAATGATTAGGGAAGATGGAAAGATGATATTTCAGAATCTCGGTTTAGGAAGCTAAAAATCATGTTTTCACGTAGATTATTTGTATATAAAATGAAAAATTCAGCATTGTAATAAATCATTAATGAATTATTTGAATGTTAAGAAAAATTAAATTGATTCAGGATGAATATATAAATTTGCTATATCTGCTAATTTTGCTATAGTTGTCTTTAAAATTAGTCAACTGCATAACAATTTTTCTAAAGTAAAACATTATTTTGAGCTTTTTAACTACGTAAATAATTATTTTTAAGTAAGTAAATAAGTTTTTAAGTTACGAGGTGTTAGTGGAAGTTAGAGATAAAGCTGATATTGTTGCATAGGGTTGGTACTCTTGTACATCCTGATGTACAGGAATACTCCTGATGTACACCAGATCTGGTTTCCTGGTATGATCAAGGGGCAAAGGTGCATCCATAGATAAAAGAAGAGTATAGAGTGGGTGCATCATTAGTAGGCAATTTATGCCTCCTCGGGTAATACTGATCACGTGTTGTTTTATTTTGATATTTAAACGTCAAAAGCTAACCCTTCAGCGCGAAGAGTTTATTTGAATTCGAAACAGCATTTCAATTATCATTAAATTAATAGATTTATCTTGATGCCTGACATTAAAATAACACCATTAGGTGCCGGGCAAGATGTTGGCAGGAGTTGCATTTTGTTATCGATGGGTGGTAAAAATATAATGCTGGATTGCGGAATGCATATGGGTTATAACGATGAAAGGCGCTTTCCGGATTTTTCCTATATAGTTCCAGAAGGTCCAATAACCAGCCACATAGATTGTGTTATTATATCACATTTTCATTTAGATCATTGTGGGGCTTTACCCTATATGTCTGAAATGGTAGGTTATACTGGTCCTATTTACATGACACATCCCACCAAAGCCATCGCTCACATATTATTAGAAGATATGAGAAAAGTAGCAGTTGAGCGTAAAGGAGAATCAAATTTTTTTACAAATCAAATGATAAAAGATTGTATGAAAAAAGTTACCGCTGTCACCCTGCATCAATCTGTCATGGTTGATAGTGAATTGGAAATTAAAGCTTATTATGCAGGACACGTTTTGGGTGCTGCAATGTTTCATATTAAGGTACATATAATTTAACAAATATATTTAAAAAAATAACGAAAACTCACTTTTATTTGTCTCTACTTGTCATATAATTTGTGGTATTATATATATGTTATGGTAAATGTGAATATTTTGGTGAATGTGCACATTCAGCGGCTCATTTGGCGAATGTGAGTTCAACTCGCGCATGTGAGGGTGAAATTTTAATTCCTATATTTATATTTATATTTATGTTTATATTTATATTATTTATTTTAGTCATATACATATTAATATCCATTATCTATTATCCATTAACTATTAACTATTTATCAATTAACAATTTATCTATGAACTATTAACTATGAACTATTAACTATTTAATTAATAATTATTAACTTTTTAACCAATAACTATTACCTATTTAACTATTCTTAATTCACTATTCACTAATAACTATTCACTATTTACTATTATCTATTCACTATTATCTATTCACTATTTACTATTAACTATTCAGTTATTATTATTCACTATTAACTATTCAGTTATCACTATTCACTATTCACTATTTTACTATTCAACTATTTACTATTAACTATTAACTATTAATTATTCTTTATTTACTATTAACTATACAGTTTTCACTATTACTATTTACTATTAACTATACAGTTTTCACTATTACTATTTACTATTAACTATACAGTTTTCACTATCACTATTTACTATTAACTATTCAGTTATCACTATTCACTATTTACTATTAACTATTCAATTATCACTATTCACTATTTACTATTAACTATTCAGTTATCACTATTCACTATTTTACTATTGAACTATTTTCCTATTAACTATTCACTATTTAACTATCCACAATTCAACTATTCTTAATGCACTATTTACTAATAACTATTCACTATTTACTATTTGACTATTCAGTTATCACTATTCACTATTTACAATTCATCTATTTCACCATTAACTGTTAAACTATTTAGTTATCACTATTCACTATTCACTAATAACTATTTACTATTCACCATTAACTATTTAACTATTTACTATTTAACTATTTACTATTTAACTATTTACTTTTTAACTATTTACTAGTTACTTAAACTATTAACAATTTACCTATAACTATTGAACTATTAACTATTCACTATTTAACTATTCACTATTCACTATTTATTATTTTACTAACAATTAACTATTTAAAATTAATTATTCACTATACACTATATTACTACTTTACTATTCAACTATTTACTATTAACTATTTAGTGCGCATGCACCAAATACGCAAGATGTTCATGAGACCGATCCAAGTATGCACATACACCATTATTTTAAATTGATTGTTTGATAACTCTACATGGTGAATGTGCACATTCACGAAGAGTGCACATTTACCGTAGCATATACACAAGTGTTTATTAAATTTTCATATAATAAAAATTGAGTATTCAGCATTTTCAAGTGCATAAAAGTCAAAAACGCTCTCTTTATTCCAATAAAACAAACACTTTTGGGTTTCAATACACAGATAGCATGTTTTACAATGCATCAATCAAATTCAAATTTATAAAATAGTTAATACACATTGAAAATCATTAAGATATTGTTACCAAATAAACTAATTTTCCTTTAAGTTATATAGTATACAAAATCTTTATAATACTTACTTCTTGATACTGTTATGGCCAAAGTACAGTATCAGGTCAGGTTTTCAAAATTAACTACTGCATAATTACATATTTATTTTTCTTAGTTTGCATGAGTTTGCAGTAATTTTCATACCATTTTCTTGACCAATGATGAGATGCAATATCTGCACAAAATATATAAAATAAATATTTAAATATCAGTTTATGCTATAAAATATTTGAAATAAAATGTTAAAATTAACAAATATTCCTTTGTTTATGAATTCAAAACCCAAAGCAATAATAAATATATGAAAAAATGGTATGAAAATTACTCTTAAATGATAATATATTTCATTGTTCTAATGTTTTCATTGTTGTATTATGTTTTACAGGTAGGATCACAATCTGTAGTTTATACAGGAGATTATAACATGACACCTGATCGTCATTTGGGTGCTGCTTGGATTGATAAATGTAGACCAGATCTATTAATTACAGAATCAACTTATGCCACAACGATACGTGACTCTAAACGATGCAGGGAACGTGATTTTTTGAAGAAAGTACATGAATGTGTAGACAAAGGAGGGAAAGTTCTCATACCAGTTTTTGCATTAGGCAGAGCACAAGAATTATGTATTCTATTAGAAACTTACTGGGAACGAATGAACTTGAAAAGCCCAATATATTTTGCAGGAGGGCTAACAGAGAAAGCAAATAATTATTACAAAATGTTCATAACATGGACAAATCAAAAAATAAGGAAGACTTTTGTACAAAGAAATATGTTTGATTTTAAACATATAAAACCATTTGATAAATCATATATTGATAATCCTGGAGCAATGGTGGTTTTTGCTACTCCAGGAATGTTACATGCTGGACTCTCATTGCAAATATTTAAGAAATGGGCACCTTTTGAGAACAATATGATTATAATGCCTGGATATTGTGTTCAAGGAACTGTTGGCCACAAAATTTTAAATGGAGAAAAAACTGTTGAATTTGAAAATCGACAAGTTGTAGAAGTGAAAATGGCAGTTGAGTATATGTCTTTCTCCGCTCATGCAGATGCCAAAGGAATTATGCAACTGATACAATACTGTGAACCAAAGAATGTACTTTTAGTACATGGAGAAGCAATAAGAATGGAATTTCTGAAGGAAAAAATTAAGAAAGAATTTGGAATTGAATGTTATAATCCTGCTAATGGTGAAACTTGTGTTATATCAACACCTGTAAAAATACCAATAGATGTATCACTACCATTGCTTAAAGCCGAAGCTAAAAGGTAAATAACTATAATACATTAAAAAATGTAGTATTAAATCATATATTTGTATTTGAAAGATAATTTTGATTTCATTACCAGATACAGTGCACAACCTCCTGATCCCAAACGTAGGCGCCTTATTCATGGAGTTCTTATTATGAAGGAAGGCAAACTTTCCCTGCTTGATATAGATGAAGCTTGTCAAGAAATTGGAATAAATAGACATATTGTCCGCTTTACCTGTACAGTTAGGCTAGAAGATCCTGGACCTATAAATCAAACAACTGACAAATTGTATAAATTAGTTAAAGACAGACTTACTGCATGGACTGTACAAATGTCAGAAAATACAATTTCCTGTGAGACTGTTTTGATAAAGGTAGAAGGAGGTGATGAAGCATTAAAGAATGTCTATGTATCCTGGACGAATCAAGATGATGATTTAGGAAGTTACATTTTGAGATTACTTCAAACAATGGGAGAATAAATGAATTGCTATGCTTGATTTCAGGCCAACCATGAATGCGAGTTTCATATCCTTTGCCTCACAATGTATGTATAGCTTCTGTCAAAGAAACATTACCAGTTAGTTATAGTTTTGTATAGTATTTTTTTAAAACTTCTATGAATATATTTAATTAGGTTGAATTGTTTAACAAAAATGTTAAAATAAAATAGTTTCAAAAATTATCTTTACTGTTTAGTTTACATCATTTTTTATTTTAAATACTACAAATACATACAATAGAGCATTTTTTTCAACAGGTATTAAATATTGGTATCTCATATTAAATTTTGCTTATAACAAAAATTTGCTTATATACAGTATATCATATATAACATAAATCAGTATTATCAATAGTACATCTACACAGTACAGTATTTATTACAGACCTATATATATATATATATATATATATATATATATATATATAGTTTTAAAAACTTATCAGTCCTTTGCAGAGTGAATGGCCCAACCAAGTATTCTGCGGTCAAATCCACATGAAAAAAAGTTGCAGGGGTTTGACATATCATCAGACCAACATACAGAAGATACCATACGTCTATGCCCCTATGAATAAAATTATAATCACGTAAAAAAAGAATAAGTTATATGTCATTAATCTATTTATTTGTTGAAAATAAATATTTAAAAACTAAAATTTAAATTACTCACTTGTCTATTAGTTCTGGGTAGCCTTGCTAAACGTTGACCAGTTAAATCAAAAAGTCTGATACGTCGATTATCATGAGGTACAGCAAGAACACTAGTACAAGAAACAGCTAAACGATTTATTGCAGAATCACATCTTATTGTTGCAAGGGGTGACCTCATGTTTCTAAGATCCCAAACCTTTATAATAAAATATCATAATCAATTGATATTTGATAGCACAAAATATATCGTCTAAAGTTTAAGGAATTTTTGTTGTCGTTTTTACTTGTTTCACAATTGATATAATTTAATATTTTCTGAACTAATAAACTATGTGAAGCTAAAAGCATAAGCCAACTACAAATTTGATGTCTAAATTAGAAATATTAAATCTTTACAAAACCATAGCTTTATTGATAAACTATCTACCTTGGCAGTCCTATCATCAGAGCCAGAAATAACTTTGTCATCAGGTGAAAAAATTGCTGAAGTCACAGTCCTAAAAATAAGCAAACATATTTTTTAGCAGAATGTTTCACAATCATTATAACCAAAAAAGTATACTAACTCTGAATGTCCCTGAAATACACTAACAGCATGTATAGTTTCTCTGAAATCCCACAGCCGAAAAGTAGTGTCTTTAGAACATGTTACAACAAGTCTTTGCATAGGATGTGCAGAAGTATGTGTCAGTTCATGATCATGTCCGGTTAATTGTTGCAATAATTCTTTAGTTTCAACATCCCAGAGCGCGGCAGTTCTATCCCAGGAAGCGGTTATTACCTGTAGATTTGTTTTTCATTTCAAAATATGCTGATAAATAAAAAAAAAGTTTAATATTAATAGATATAAAAGAATCTTTTTTAGGGCATCTCGTTATTCCTGACTATATTAAATGAAGATGATAATGAAAATGATAATTGTATTCATATTACATTTCAGTAAGCACAAAACAAATAAGACGAGAAAGAGTAATCCCATTTGAACTTCACTCTTATGAATTGTTTACCTCTTCATACTAGAACATGAAGTTTACATAAATTGCTGTTTTCTGGATTGATATGAAATTTTTGTTAAAGATATAAAAATATTATTTTGCAAAAGTTTACTTGTGCATTGTGCACAAAAAATTAAATCAGTAAAATTATTTGCAAATTAAGCATACCTGTTCACCACCAGGAAGCCAATCAGCAGCAACAACAACACCTGTATGTCCCACCAACTCAGCTAAGGGTGTTCTTAGAGTATCGACTCGATCTATTTCAGTCTCATTCTCACCCCAAGCACCTTCTTCTAGTTCCTCTTCAGATGATTGCCCTTTCTAAAATAGGCATAAATATATAACATAAATCAAAAGCTTACATTGTAATAAAAATTTGTGAATCTATTTATTGTTTCTTCAACAAGTAAAATATTAAAAAAAAATGTGCAGATTAATTTAATGTGTATTGTGCATATTATAAAGTTAGACCAACTTAAATAAAAAACCTGTTTGCGATTCTAGTTGTACAGAGCAGTACAATGTCTTAAATATCATAAGATATTAATAATACACAATAACAGTATAAACAAAATACTAAATATATTCAAAACTAGGCTTATAAATTTTTCTATATGGTTGTACTATTCAGCTATTCTAATATGCATTTATAAACCTTTTTTGATGTACAGTAACTCATGTTTGCAGTTACAAATTAATGTCCAACTGACTCAAAAATGGATGGTCATGATAAAATTGTAGATGACTTTCAATGTTCAGACGCATTAGGCTCTCGCCACCATTACTTTTGCATGATAATTGTTTTCATCATCTTAGTAAATAAGAAAAATATAATATAACAATCAATAAGATGAATAATTCAATTTCAATAATATAAATGAAATAAAAATGTAATGTGTAGTATTATCATGTGCATATCAGGCCGGACCAGATCTAGATCATCTAGAATTGATAACCTAGATTTTTTTTATTTTAATGAATAATTGAAAAATTATGCTAAAGCTAGAATAGAAAACTCTCTTAATTCTTTACTATATGATTGCTATGAAATTTCATATTTATATTTCTATTGCAATAATTAATTTTATTACCGGAACTTCCCAATCAACAGCTGCTTGCCAAACATGAGCAGTACAATCACCACTTGCTGATAAAATAACATCTCTCGATGGATGGAATCTAGCAGAATTTACACTGCCTCCATGTCCTGAGTAACGCAACAGACATTTACCAGTAGCAACACCCCATATACAAGCGCTTCGATCTGCAATATTTATATACAAATGGCAATTCAAATATAAAGTCAATAATGTTACCAAGTCAACACTACATATTTTGCAATACAATATTTGTTAAAATATTTAAAGCCCATTAAAAAATTGAATAAGTAATTCCAAAATCATGTTTATAGATTATAGAATTTATATTTATTTGATAAAATAAACTGCAAAATGTCTGTAATAAAATTAAATTTAATATGCAATTAAATTACCTGCAGAAGCTGATACAATAATAGGTTGACCCGGCCGACCTGGTGTTATTTCCCAAATTCCATCCTTGTGTCCAACATATTCTCGAACTAACCTACTACTAACTGATTGCGTTTTGAAACTTGATACTATACGACTAGTTTGCGCTCTCAAGCGCTGTGTTGTTTTAACTTTCTGGGAGCTTGATACTAAAAATAATTAACGCAATAAAAATTTGATTCTAATTGATAGTTTTAATAAATGTACATACATTTTTTGACTAGAGTTTTTCCACTGCCTTCATGATCCACACTATCACTTTGTGATATCCCTGGTTTTTCCTTTTCGAGTCTTTCCGTTAATGTTTCAACTTTCTCATGTACTACAAATGATAATAAATACTAATTATATTGTGTCTACTAAGTATAACCAAGATATATTTATTTGAAGAACTTTTCAATCTATATAAAGAGTGCAGCGATAATTTTTATATTTATATGGTTCATTAACCTCTACCAAACAATTATAAGACATTTCTTGTTCAACTCTTGAATGCTTAGTCTACAGAGATGAACAAATCTTGCTTAGAAATTGCATGTACAACTTTTTACTATTCTCCATATGCTTCACCGGTAAAAGAGCATTAGAAAGTCAATATTAATTCAATAAAATCATCAATGTAATGTCTTATGTAATAAATATTATAAGCTTTTTGTTCCTCCATAAATATTATAAACTTTTCGTTCATAGCATTATTTATAAATAATACTAAGAACAAAAAGTTCCACAAAGATTCTATTTCAACTTTGATTTTAGTCATGATATTGAATAAATTGAAAGTAGTACTTTTTATAATAATAAAAAAATAATATATTAAATTTCATAAAATTAATGATCATTAAAACATTATTAAAAACTTTGATAACATGATTAGAAAAGAAATATTTTTACATATACCTTACATTTTTCATAAAAGTATTTATACTTACATGAAATATTTTCAGCATGTAATCTTTCAAACTCCTTTTCAATCTGTGAAAATAAATATTGCAACCTAGCTTTCGGATTGTCTGCATCGCCGGCAAATACATCGTCGGCCAATGGTGAAAAAGGAGAATTCAGACTCTTTTTGGAAGTGGAGCCTTTTGATGGCTTGCTATTGTGATCTTGAGGCATTTTTGTATTATGTACTTATTGTCATAGTTAAACTATTTCACAAAGTAAACTTTGTGTAGACATATAAACAATATTTAACATGTTTCAAATAAAGTTTTATGGAGCAAAACCACTCCTACAATGCAATTTCAATCATACTCGTAAGTGTAAAATATTAATACGAGATATATAAGTATGGACATTCTCGTTAATCGCGAATTATTGTAAACAATCCATGAGCCATAAACAATAAGATTACACTATAACAATACTGTTTTGTTTACAACAATGTCAAATGTCAATATCCAAACGTCAATCATAACAATGATGAATAAACAGGTTTTCCAGACTTTAGGTTAGATTCATAAGTGTTGCCAAGAGTGAATTAGGTCATTTCTTCCATTCGGATCTAACTTCATATCTATAGAAAGGAAGCGCATGTTTTTCATATTGTACAGGCGTTTTCCGTTTAAATTGATAATAATAGTAATAATACTAATAATATTAAAAAAATAGCATATTTTGTTTATAATATAGAAATATCGCATTGTAGTATTATTTATTATACATGTGAATTATAAAAATAAAATGTTATAAAATAATGTTTATTTACCATATCAATCTTTGAACATAATTAAAATCTCTCCAATATATATCTTTTGTCATAAATACATTTATAGTAACTGCATTAATAACAACATATAACAAAAATTCCACATATAATAACTTTTCAATGTTTTGTAACTTTAGTTTCAAAATAATAAAAGGGATAAAAAAATATCGCACTTCTATCATCATTTGAAAAGACAAGGCAGCAAAAGTAGTCACAAAAAATATAAGATTAAAACATAATTTACTATTTTTTAAATTATCCAATACTGATTTTAAAGCAAATAAATATATCAAGGCAAAAAAATACCGAATTAAATCTTTACTCAGTAGCCTATTCCAAAAATAAAAAGTATAATGTCTATTATCAGCCAATAAATATGGATGTACAATAGTATTAGAATATATAATGATAATAAAAACGGTTAAAATTAAAATAGTTGCCACAAAATTTTTATCAAAGATCTTAGAGTATCTATGAAATTATATAACACATGAGTTATAGAAAATATTCCATAGAACAATGAAAAATAAAATATCTGAAATAAAAAATGTATAAATAGATATTCAATATACAATATTCATATAAAATATTTGTTCTTACCTGTGGAATATGCAATTTAGCTTGATGTGCATTTTTATCACCAACAACTATTGAACCATTCCAAATAATAAAAATTGCAAAAGCAATTATAAGTAAAAAATAAGGCAGAAATGCAGTGGAGAAAATTTGGGGAACCAATACCATTAATAAATCTTTAAGCTTTCCTGATTTTATAATATGTAGAAGATTCTTAAGCAACGCCTAAAATAAATATATATATATATATATATATATATATATATATATATATATATATATTATATATATATATATATATATATATATATATGTATATATATATATATATATATTATATTTACTTACTATTTCTTCAATTTTATAACATTTTACTGGAGCTGGTGGTGTACTGCGTCTCTTTTTATATATTTTATCAAGTTCATTATGCAAAGTTTCCAAGCATAATTGACCAAAACAGAGCCCAACCCAAACAATATTTGTTTGGCGAATTAAAATTGCAAAAGCACCTATATAAATATGTTGTTAATATTTAGTCGAAATGCTGTAATATTATATTTGGTTGAATACTAACCAGCAATTGAAGCCATAAAATGATTATTATATAATTTGCAAATAAACATCATTAACACAAATGTCACTGATAAAGTATCTGTATAATACAAATGTGAAAAAAAATATAAAGGTGGTAAAATTGCAATATTCACAGCAGTCATTATAGTTCTTCTTGAAATGCGTTTGTACTATAAAAGAAGATTTAAGATTCAGAATTTAAGATCTGATGAAAATTCATTCTACCATATATAAATAATATGTTATATTCACTTATTTATATATATATATATATATATATATAAAATTATATAAAGTGTTTTATTACATCATATGGTTCATGATTAATTTTATGTGCCAAAATAATCAGCAGATAAAGATTAATTCCTGATGCTAAAAGATTTATAGAACGAAGATAATATTTTGAACATAATCCAAATGGTCCTAAAATATAGTTGATATTAAATATAAACCAGGTAACGTAGTGATTTTAGAATCCCACTAAAAAACAAAAATTATATTAAGATTTTAATATTAGCTCTTTATTATTGTATTATTTATATTTACCGTAGAAAAGTTTCCATTACAATATAATTGTCCTTGGGGTATATGAAAAATTTCATCAATAACTAAATGAGATGATTTGTCAATAATATTAAATATAAATATTGATACTATAAAATATATAAAAACTATTGAAAGTATATAATAATTATAGGTTAAAAACATTGCTATTATTGGATATGTATATAAACTAAAAATTTAAACAACTACTATTCGTTATATTACATTACAATTAAAATTGTTTATTCAAAGGCATTTCTAACATATTGCGAATTTCTTTAAACTGATTTTATGATAAGCAACAGCATTTTATGGTAACCATAGCATTCAACTTCTTATAGGTTATGTCCTGTCATGTTGACATAACACAAAGTAAATCTATTTATTCATATTTATATATGAATATTAAATTAAAACATTAATAATAATCGAATATCTAATTTAGTATTACAATGTGTGTATAATTATAATTTAAAGATCAAAGAAAATAAAAAAATGTTAGCCTTTTCAAAAGTTCCTAAAGTAATTTGTTCAAAACAATCATCTAACATTTATCATAGGATATTATTAAATAATGAAATTAATTTAATAAATAATGTTCGATTAATATATACAACTAATACATGTAAGTCATTCTACGAACGTGATAGAAAAGGTGGTTATGACACTAAACCTAAAGAAAAGGTAAAACTACATTTATTAAGTTTCCATTCTTCCATTGTTATAAAAGGCTGTCTAACAGCAACTTTTCTGCTCAAAGTTTATCATAAAATCTTCTTGATAATTCAGACAAGTTAAATCACAAATATTTATTTATTGCAGATTCCAATTACCAAATTAATAAAAGATGGTTTTAAAGAGCTGAAAACTGAGTTAAAATTATTCAAACAAGAAGTTATAGAGCATTTTCGAAGTGACCCTATTATGGTATTTCGACAAGGTAATAGCTCAAAATTTTACTATACATATATTGTTATTCAGATAACTATCGATGTACGTCGAAGAGAAAAGCGCTACTTGTTCTAAGTCATCAATTTTCCTGATAAAGATTGAAATAACTTAGTTATTATTTATAAGAAATGATTTATAAGTAAATAGTTAAGATTACATCATTGTCATTAAAATAATGTTAATATTAAAACGAATATCAACAATTAAAACAATGAACAACAAGTGACTATAGTATACAATGTTCCTATTACGGCTGACGGTCATAAATAAAATAGGGAATAAAAAGAAAAAAAATTGTTATTGTGATAACTAATAATATTAATAATATTTAATTTATTATAAGTTATGTTTATCTCGTTTGACATATATCAAAAGAGATAGATTAATATAATATTCTAATTCTATTTTATACCGAGTTGTTTTCCTTTTATATAAATTGATTGTATTATATAAAATAAATATAGAAATTGGTATTAACAGTTCTATATTAAATATATACAAAACTGGATCATTTTTAGGTGAAACTGATGAAGCATGGCATCTTGGTTCAAAGGAAGGTTTAAAAAAATGGAAAGTAACTGTAGATAAAGATCATGGTGAAGGCTACAGTACTGCTAAACTTGAACTGAGTCCTTCAGGATATGGTTTATTTCATGGCAATATCGATATGACTGTACCACAGACTGGTCGAATCAAAAGTGCAGGTTATGCAAATATGCAAGCGTTACGAGCCAGGGTAATTAAAGCAAAACAAGAAATCAACAAATTTTGTCTAAAATTTATATAAATATTATATATTTAATCTATATTTCATACTTTTCAGAAATCATTCAAGAGAGAAACCTATCTTGACTGGACAGCTTATAATACTTTAGGTGATAATATGTAACTGTATTATTAGTATTTGATAGAATTTAAATTTAATAAAAATTAATCATAAAAGTATTCAGGATACGCGGAGATGGACGTACATATATGATAAATATTTCTACTAGTGGCTACTATGATATCTGGTGGAATGACATGTATAGTTATGCTCTTTACACTAGAGGTGGACCTTATTGGCAAATTGCTAAGGTAAAACCAAATATTTATGAATATATATGTTTAATGTAATAGTACTTCTAAAAAATTTAACTTTTTCAGTACAATTCGTGGTCTTTAGTTATGAATATGATATATTTTTGCTTCTTCATTATTGCAGATACATATTCTTATATTATTTGTTTTAGATTCCATTTTCAAAATTCTTTTTAACATCAAAGGGCCGAATACAAGATAAGCAATATCCCATACCCTTGAGTAGAATAACTGCTTTAGGTATATCAGTATCTGGCATAGATGGTGTTGGAGGACCATTTTCTTTAGAACTCGATTACATTGGACTAGAACATGACTACAGAAACAAAGAGGAGTTTGCGTATGAAATGTACAAAACAGATAGGTGGATTGCTGGTCATTAAATACCAATGATTTATTATGTATAAAATGTAAAAATTATATTTAGAGATATTTATAATAAATATTTTTCAATTAAATACATTTTGTGTATTTCAATTATTTATGTTATTTTCAATAATAATTTTATATTTATTTAATGCTATTTCTGAATACGTCCCATTTTCCTGAATTGTTGTTGGGTTTTTCTTCTATAGTAACCATGACAATGTTGGTTCACATGAATCAATATCCAAAATGTTTCAAATGAATTGTGACTTGAAATAAGTTTGTGTGTACTTATTTGATAATAATAAGAAATATTTGCAAACATATTGTTATAAAGTAAAAATACCTTAAAAAAGTTATAGTTAAGTGTTAATAGTTTTAAAGTTTAAATATTGTTAGTATTTTGATGTAGTATATGAAAAGTTTAAATAAGTTATAATACATAATATAATATTTACAAATTATTTTTACGTATAATATTTAATATTTTTAATATATAAAATTTTATAAATAGGAAATCCAATATCAAGTATTGTGTAGCATATAACTAAAATAGTTTACAATGGCGGTACGGCGAAATTATATAAAAGTACCAGAAGGTTTACGTGAGTGTATAGAAGGGTTAACAAAACAAGTATTGCTAGAAAAACCTGAAAATATTGAAGAATTTGCCGCTAATCATTTTGAAACCTTGCTTTCAATACGGGAATCGGTTCAAGGTGAAATTTATCCACAAGAAGCGGGTCAATACATTAACATCGTCATAAAAAATAAAGGCAGAAGAAGGGTGCACGAGTGCCCGCACAGGTGGCAACCATACAGGGAAAATATTCCAAGTACTGTAGAAAAATATCGTCATTATAAAAATATAGCGAAAAGTTCAAGGAAACCGGAGGTTTGTGATGAATTACCAGAAGACAGACTAGGACACAATGATAATATAGATTTAAATGCTTTTTCGGACGAAACTGATGCAATTACTAAAATACAAGCCCACGTGAGGGGTTTCCTTTCTAGAAAAACGAACAACGCTAAAACTGCATCTAATTTTGTTTCAAAATCAAAATCAATAACAGTCCAAACGCCTCAAAAAAGCGTTACTGATCCAACAATTCAAACCGATATCACAATTATTAATTCTACAACTTCAACCACAGAAAACGAAGGACCAAAAAAAGCAAACTCTCCGAGAAAAAAATCAGTTACGATCAATATACCAAATAATATCGAAAGCTTAAGTTCAATTGATAGTTTTTCAAATGATACGGAGGCAATTACTAAAATTCAAGCGCACGTAAAAGGTTTTCTCACACGAAAGAGTTTAAACAAAATAAAAACTTCAGATAGCAAGAAAAACGAGGTAAGTGAAAATAATATTTTAAACAAAGGATCTGCTGAGCAACAGTCTGATGTTAAGATAGAACACCAAGACGACGTTAATATAGAAGATTTTGAATCAGATGTCCAGGCGGTTACTAAAATACAAGCGCATGTTAGAGGATTCCTTACACGAAAACACAATTTAAAAGAAAATTCTATTACTGAAAAAGAAACAGAACATATCGATATAAATGACTTTAAAGATGATGCCCAGTCAATAACAAAAATTCAAGCTCATGTTCGCGGCTTCCTAACAAGAAAGAACGCCCAGAAAATCAATGACGATAAATCTACAAATATAAATAGCAAAGGTTCTCAAGTATTTGATAAATATCCCACTCACGAAACAGATAATGACAAAAATATGAAGTACTTGGAAGCTGATCAAAATGAACTGGAATCCACTGCCAAAAGTTCAGCAAAAAGTGCTGATTATTCACATGAAAGCCAAGGAAGGGAGTCTTCAGAAACAGAATTAAACGAAGCTGCAGCGATTATCCAAAAATCTTTTAGAGCGCGTATGGTACGAAAGCATAACAAAAATACTATTAAATCTTTCCAAACAGTTATAGAGAATAATGTCGAGCATATCAATGAAGATACCAAAAGATCCCGATTGATGTCCAGGCGAAGTACTCTACGAAGAGGTGTCGCTATTAATGCAAGCAGTAGTAGCGATCCTGATAACTCCAAGAGTGAATCCTCAAGTCATAACGATGGTGTAACCAGAATCATGGATATGGAAGTTCCTGCACCAAATGAACGCCCCGCTGCAGAAGAAGGAGAAAATCAAGCAAAACAGGTGACTGATTCAGATATAATAGATGATAAGATAACAAACGCTAATGCAAATGTCATTGTGACTGACGGTTTAGCTGATAGCTCACTTTTAGCTAATAGTGATATGGCTATTATAGAAGAAAGCATGAATTTAGATATAATAGAATCCAATGTAGATGGATTTTCTACCGATGCTGTTAATAAAACAACAGTATCTGATAACTTAGATTCTAATTTAGAATCTGTAGCAGTTAATATAGATGAAAAAAATGGTGAAAAAGATAATAATGATAAATTTACTCAGGGATTAGATGAAAGTATAATTAATAATGTTGATAAAAATAATTTAGATGTAGATCCAGAAACTAATACCAATGAAAAAGGTGTTATTATTGAGAAAAATAAAAACTTTACAAATGAAGATACAAAAGATATTGAAGTCATACAAAATAATATAAAAAGTGCAGAAAATACAGATGTAGACGCAGTTAACTCCAACGAACAGGCTATTGATATAGATGTGGAAAAGTCTGGCGAACAAAGTGAAAATATAATTAATAAAAATGACGAGGTAGTTCACGATTCAAATTTAAAACAAACAGAACTACTAAATATAAATTCCAATCATCAAAAACCTATCGACGATGCAGTTCCGGTGTTTACAAATTCCGATGAGAATACTTCTAATTATAAATTAGCTGAAAATGAAGTAGATGACGCTATTGAGAATAGTGGCAATAAAGTAGAATCAACTACAGTGAATGGCGAAATTAAAAATCCAGAAACAAATATAAATAAAAACCCACATGCCTCGGCTGAAAATCCAGTGCACACTACGAATACCATCAAAGATGATCAAGCCGTATGCGATGCTGAACTTGAACCTAAAAATACATTAAAAATAGACGATCTGACTGTAAACCATCCTTTAGCAAAAAATAATAAAGCGGAAGAAGAGACGACGCATAACCGATCCGGAAGTATGAATGTGGACGACGCCAAAAATGCATCAGATCAGACAACCGGAGAAATTAGAGATAACCATTCTTCAAAACAGTCGGAATCAGGACAAATGAATGGTAATGGTAAAAGTATCGTAGGATATGGCATGGCTGCAACAGTTATTGCAGGTGTTGTTGGTATTGCATGTGATAGTAAGTTAGGTACAGATAATAATTTACATAAATTAGATAACAGTACTGTAGATAATGTAGTATCTACTAGTATTACAATTTCTAAAAATGAGTACGTTAAAAGTATTGTAGGTGATTCAAACAATCATAATATTTCTTCATTAAATTCAGATCTTAGCTCTGTAGAGAGTATCATGACTAGTGTAACTTCAGATAACAAAAAATTAGTTACAGATAATCCTGGTAATATTGAACTAAATACTGTTAAACTTGAGAATGAAAACGCCACAAACTACATGAAATCTTGTACCGAAAACGGGCAAGTTGATATTAAAGATACTGTAAATAATATTGAATCTGGAATTCAAGATGCACCAGATAATATTGAAAGTAATATTAAAGATACTGCAGATAATATTCAATCTAGAATTCAAGAGGCAGCAGATAATATTGAAAATAGCGCTGAAGATACTGTAGATGATATAAAATCCGAAATTCAAAAACCCGCAGATAATATTGAAGGTGGCATTGAAGATACTGTAAATAATATTGAATCCGGAATTCAAGATGCTGCAGATAATATTGAAGGTGGCATTAAAGATACTGTAAAAAATATTGAATCCGCAGATGCTGCAGATAATATTGAAGGTGACATTAAAGATACTGCAAATAATATTGAATCCGAGGTTCAAGATGCTGCAGATAATATTGAAGGTGCTAAAGATACTGTAAATAATGTAAGAATCCGGAATTCAAGAAATGCAGATAATATTGAAGGTGGCATTAAAGATACTGTAAATAATATTGAATCCGGAATTCAAGATGCACAGATAATATTGAAGGTGACATTAAAGATACTGTAAATAATATTGAATCCGGAATTCAAGATGCTCAGATAATTTGAAGGTGACATTAAAGATACTGTAAATAATATTGAATCCGGAATTCAAGATGCAGCAGATAATATTGAAGGTGACATTAAAGATACTGTAAATAATATTGAATGCAGATAATATTGAAGGTGGCATTAAAGATACTGTAAATAATATTGAATCCGGAATTCAAGATGCTGCAGATAATATTGAAGGTGGCATTAAAGATACTGTAAATAATATTGAATCCGGAATTCAAGATGCTACAGATAATGTTGAAGGTGACATTAAAGATACTGCAAATAATATTGAATCCGGAATTCAAGATGCTGCAGATAATATTGAAGGTGGCATTAAAGATACTGTAAATAATATTGAATCCAGAATTCAAAACGCTGCAGATAATATTGAAGGTGACATTAAAGATACTGTAAATAATATTGAATCCGGAATTCAAGATGCTGCAGATAATGTTGAACGTGACATTAAAGATACTGCAAATAATATTGAATCGCAGATAATGTTGAACGTGACATTAAAGATACTGTAAATAATATTGAATCCGGAATTCAAGATGCTGCAGATAATATTGAAGGTGGCATTAAAGATACTGTAAATAATATTGAATCCAGAATTCAAAACGCTGCAGATAATATTGAAGGTGACATTAAAGATACTGTAAATAATATTGAATCCGGAATTCAAGATGCTGCAGATAATATTGAAGGTGACATTAAAGATACTGTAAATAATATTGAATCCGGAATTCAAGATGCTGCAGATAATATTGAAGGTGACATTAAAGATACTGTAAATAATATTGAATCCGGAATTCAAGATGCTGCAGATAATATTGAAGGTGGCATTAAAGATACTGTGAATAATATTGAATCCGGAATTCAAGATGCTGCAGATAATATTGAAGGTGACATTAAAGATACTGTAAATAATATTGAATCCGGAATTCAAGATGCTGCAGATAATATTGAAGGTGGCATTAAAGATACTGTAAATAATATTGAATCCGGAATTCAAGATGCTGCAGATAATATGAAGAAACTGTAAATAATATTGAAACCGGAATTCAAGATGCTGCAGATAATAATTGAAGGTGGCATTAAAGATACTGTAAATAATATTGAATCCGGAATTCAAGATGCTGCAGATAATATTGAAGGTGACATTAAAGATACTGTGAATAATATTGAATCCGGAATTCAAGATGCTGCAGATAATATTGAAGGTGGCATTAAAGATACTGTGAATAATATTGAATCCGGAATTCAAGATGCTGCAGATAATATTGAAGGTGGCATTAAAGATACTGTGAATAATATTGAATCCGGAATTCAAGATGCAGCAGATAATATTGAAGGTGACATTAAAGATACTGTAAATAATATTGAATCCGGAATTCAAGATGCTGCAGATAATATTGAAGGTGGCGCTAAAGATACTGTAAATAATATTGAATCCGGAATTCAAGATGCTGCAGATAATATTGAAGGTGGCGCTAAAGATACTGTAAATAATATTGAATCCGGAATTCAAGATGCTGCAGATAATATTGAAGGTGGCATTAAAGATACTGTGAATAATATTGAATCCGGAATTCAAGATGCAGCAGATAATATTACAGGTGACATTAAAGATACTGTGAATAATATTGAATCCGGAATTCATGAAGGTGGCATTAAAGATACTGTGAATAATATTGAATCCGGAATTCAAGATGCAGCAGATAATATTACAGGTGACATTAAAGATACTGTGAATAATATTGAATCCGGAATTCAAGATGCAGCAGATAATATTGAAGGTGACATTAAAGATACTGTAAATAATATTGAATCCGGAATTCAAGATGCTGCAGATAATATTGAAGGTGGCATTAAAGATACTGTGAATAATATTGAATCCGGAATTCAAGATGCAGCAGATAATATTACAGGTGACATTAAAGATACTGTGAATAATATTGAATCCGGAATTCAAGATGAATGCAGATAAATACTTATTGAAGGTGGCGCTAATATTGATACTGATACTGTAAATAATATTGAATCCGGAATTCAAGATGCTGCAGATAATATTGAAGGTGCATTAAAGATACTGTGAATAATATTGAATCCGGAATTCAAGATTGCAGAGATAATATTGAAAGGTGACATAAAAGATTAATGTAAATAATATTGAATCCGGAATTCAAGATGCTGCAGATAATATTGAAAGGTGGCCATTAAAGATACTGTGAATAATATTGAATCCGGAATTCAAGATGCTGCAGATAATATTGAAGTGGCATTAAAGATACTGTAAATAATATTGAATCCGGAATTCAAGATGCTGCAGATAATATTGAAGGTGGCATTAAAGATACTGTGAATAATATTGAATCCGGAATTCAAGATGCAGCAGATAATATTACAGGTGACATTAAAGATACTGTGAATAATATTGAATCCGGAATTCAAGATGCAGCAGATAATATTGAAGGTGACATTAAAGATACTGTAAATAATATTGAATCCGGAATTCAAGATGCTGCAGATAATATTGAAGGTGGCGCTAAAGATACTGTAAATAATATTGAATCCGGAATTCAAGATGCTGCAGATAATATTGAAGAAACTGTAAATAATATTGAATCCGGAATCCAAGATGCTGCAGATAATATTGAAGGTGGCATTAAAGATACTGTGAATAATATTGAATCCGGAATTCAAGATGCTGCAGATAATATTGAAGGTGGCATTAAAGATACTGTAAATAATATTGAATCCGGAATTCAAGATGCTGCAGATAATATTGAAGGTGGCATTAAAGATACTGTGAATAATATTGAATCCGGAATTCAAGATGCAGCAGATAATATTACAGATGACATTAATGATACTGTAAATAATATTAAATCCGGAATTCAAGATGCTGCAGATAACATTGAAGGTGACATTAAAGATACTGTGAATAATATTGAATCCAGAATTCAAGATGCAGCAGATAATATTGAAGGTGACATTAAAGATACTGTAAATAATATTGAATCTGGAATTCAAGATGCTGCAGATAATATTGAGGGTGGAATTAAAGATACAGTGAATAATATTGAATCCGGAATTCAAGATGCTACAGAAAATATTGAAGGTGACATTAAAGATACTGTGAATAATATTGAATCCGGATTTCAAGATGCAGCAGATAATATTGAAGGTGACATTAAAGATACTGTAAATAATATTGAATCCGGAATTCAAGATGCTGCAGATAATACTGAAAGTGGCACTAAAGATACTGTAAATAATATTGAATCAGGAATTCAAAATGCTGCAGATAATATTGGAGAAACTGTAAATAATATTGAATCCGGAATTCAGGATGCTGCAGATAATATTGAAGGTGGCATTAAAGATACTGTAAATAATATTGAATCCGGAATTCAAGATGCTGCAGATAATATTGAAGGTGACATTAAAGATACAGTGAATAATATTGAATCCGGAATTCAAGATGCTACAGATAATATTGAAGGTGACATTAAAGATACTGTGAATAATATTGAATCCGGAATTCAAGATGCTGCAGATAATATTGAAGGTGGCATTAAAGATACTGTAAATAATATTGAATCCGGAATTCAAGATGCTACAGATAATGTTGAAGGTGACATTAAAGATACTGTAAATAATATTGAATCCGGAATTCAAGATGCTGCAGATAATATTGAAGGTGGCATTAAAGATACTGTAAATAATATTGAATCCGGAATTCAAGATGCTGCCGATTATATTGAATCAGGTGTAAAAAATAATGTAGAAAATATTGAATCAGGCATTCAAGAAGCAGCAGATAATATTGAATCTGTTGTTAAAGATACTGTAAATAATTTTGAATCTGGAATCCAAGGAGCAGCAGATAATATTGAATCTGATGTTAAAAATACTGCAAATAATGTTGAATCCAAAATTCAATCTGCAGCAGATAATGAAGAAACTGACGTTAAAGAACTTGGCATTGAAGATTCGGAAATGAACAATCAAAATGACGTCAATAATATGACTGACTATATTAAATCTGACACAAAGGATGCAGTTGATAACACAGCATCTACCCTAGAAAACACAGCTGATGAAATTAAGGACGGAGTTAATGAATCAAATAATATTAAATCTGATGTTGCAATTGATATAAATGACACATTTGAAAGTTCAGAATATAAAATGATGCCAACATCTGAAACTAAAAATATTAAAGCTAACGAAAACGAACATATACAATCAGACAAAATTGAAACGCTTGCAGATACTCAGCCAAAATCTCACAAAATTGACTCCAGCTTCACGAAAACAATGCATCTTCTCAATTCCAACTTGCGAAAGGCTTACGGAAAAATAAATAATAAATTTGAAAAAAGCAAAACAGATAATAAAACGAGTAATAAGAAACATAAAACAGAAATTAAAAATTCAGATCACAAGCAACCAATTATTTCTAAAGCTGCTTCTTTCCAAAAAAATAAATCTAGCCCGTCAAACGTAGAACAGAAGGAAAAAGAACATCCACAAAATTACAAGTACACACACGTTAAACAAGGCAAGCCATCAGAATATAAATTATTAAATAGAAAAAAGAGAGAAACTAAACAGGATATAACTAATTCGCCTTCGAATGGATTCACTGAAGCAGATAAAATAGCCAATCTGGCTTTCTTGTTGAATGAAGTAAAAACGTCGTCAGAGTCAAAAAAGGCACATCTAGAAAATAATATTAAACTTGCTACAAATAAAACGATTAATAATATCGAAGCTACGAACAAAAATACATTGATTACTTCAAGAGATACTTCAGATAGAATTGAATCTGAAATAAATGATGCAACGCACACCACAGAAGAAGTACGAGATGAAATTCAAAAGGCACCTAATTCCATCGAATCAAACACGAAAAGTATATTAGATAGTACAATACCCGACATCCAAAAAACAGCAAATAATATTGAAAATGGTATTGTAAATACAGCAGATAATATTGAAACGTGCATTGAAGATACATCAAAAAACATTGAATCCGGAATTAAAGATGCAGTAGATAATATTAAATCCGCCATTCAAGAAGCAGAAGATAATATTGAATCTGGCGCAAAAGATACTGAAGACAATATTGAATCCGGCATTCAAAAATCAGCAGATAATATTGAATCTGGCGCAAAAGATACTGCAGACAATATTGAATCCGGTATTCAAGAAGCAGCAGATAATATTGAATCCGACATTCAAGCGGCAGCAGATAATATTGAATCTGACGTAAAAGATGCTGTAGATAATATTGAATCTGGCGCAAAAGATACTGCAGACAATATTGAATCCGGTATTCAAGAAGCAGCAGATAATATTGAATCCGACATTCAAGCGGCAGCAGATAATATTGAATCTGACGTAAAATATACTGCAGATAATATTGAATACGGCATTCAAAAAGCAGAAGATAATATTGAATCTGGCGTAAAAGATACTGTAGATAATATTGAATCCGGCATTCAAGAAGCAGCAGATAATATTAAATCCGACATTCAAGCGGCAGCAGATAATATTGAATCTGGCGCAAAAGATACTGCAGACAATATTGAATCCGGCATTCAAAAAGCAGCAGATAATATTGAATCTGGCGCAAAAGATACTGCCGACAATATCGAATCCGGCATTCAAGCGGCAGCAGATAATATTGAATCTGACGTAAAAGATACTGTAGATAATATTGAATCCGACATTCAACCGGCAGCAGATAATATTGAATCTGGCGCAAAAGATACTGCAGACATTATTGAATCCGGCATTCAAAAAGCAGCAGATAATATTGAATCAGGCGCAAAAGATACTGCCGACAATATTGAATCCGGCATTCAAGAAGCAGCAGATAATATTGAATCCGACATTCAAGCGGCAGCAGATAATATTGAATCTGGCGCAAAAGATACTGCAGACAATATTGAATCCGGCATTCAAAAAGCAGCAGATAATATTGAATCTGGCGCAAAAGATACTGCCGACAATATTGAATCCGGCATTCAAGAAGCAGCAGATAATATTGAATTCGACATTCAAGCGGCAGCAGATAATATTGAATCTGACGTAAAAGATACTGTAGATAATATTGAATCCGGCATTCAAAAAGCAGCAGATAATATTGAATCTGGCGCAAAAGATACTACCGACAATATTGAATCCGGCATTCAAGAAGCAGCAGATAATATTGAATTCGACATTCAAGCGGCAGCAGATAATATTGAATCTGACGTAAAAGATACTGTAGATAATATTGAATCCGGCATTCAAAAAACAGCAGATAATATTGAATCTGGCGCAAAAGATACTACCGACAATATTGAATCCGGCATTCAAGAAGCAGCAGATAATATTGAATCCGACATTCAAGCGGCAATAGATAATATTGAATCTGACGTAAAAGATACTGTAGATAATATTGAATCCGGCATTCAAGAAGCAGCAGATAATATTAAATCCGACATTCCAGTGGCAGCAGATAATATTGAATCTGGCGCAAAAGATACTGTAGATAATATTGAATCCGGCATTCAAAAAGCAGCAGATAATATTGAATCTATCGCAAAAGATACTGCAGACAATATTGAATCCGGCATTCAAGAAGCAGCAGATAATATTGAGTCTGACATTCAAGCGGCAGCCGATAATATTGAAACCGGCATTCAAGAAGCAGCAGATGATATTAAATCCGACATTCAAGCGGCAGCAGATAATATTGAATCTGGCGCAAAAGATACTGCAGACAATATTGAAACCGGCATTCAAGAAGCAGCAGATAATATTAAATCCGACATTCAAGCGGCAGCAGATAATATTGAATCTGGCGCAAAAGATACTGTAGATAATATTGAATCCGGCATTCAAGAAGCAGCAGATAATATTAAATCCGATATTCAAGCGGCAGCCGATAATATTGAATCTGGCGCAAAAGATACTGTAGATAATATTGAATCCGGCATTCAAGAAGCAGCAGATAATATTGAATATGGCGTAAAAGATACTGTAGATAATATTGAATCCGGAATTCAAGAAGCAGCAGATAATATTGAATCTGGCGCAAAAGATACTGTAGATAATATTGAATCCGGCATTCAAAAAGCAGCAGATAATATTGAATCTATCGCAAAAGATACTGCAGACAATATTGAATCCGGCATTCAAGAAGCAGCAGATAATATTGAGTCTGACATTCAAGCGGCAGCCGATAATATTGAAACCGGCATTCAAGAAGCAGCAGATGATATTAAATCCGACATTCAAGCGCCAGCAGATAATATTGAATCTGGCGCAAAAGATACTGTAGATAATATTGAATCCGGCATTCAAGAAGCAGCAGATAATATTGAATATGGCGTAAAAGATACTGTAGATAATATTGAATCCGGAATTCAAGAAGCAGCAGATAATATTGAATCTGGCGCAAAAGATACTGTAGATAATATTGAATCCGGCATTCAAAAAGCAGCAGATAATATTGAATCTATCGCAAAAGATACTGCAGACAATATTGAATCCGGCATTCAAGAAGCAGCAGATAATATTGAGTCTGACATTCAAGCGGCAGCCGATAATATTGAAACCGGCATTCAAGAAGCAGCAGATGATATTAAATCCGACATTCAAGCGGCAGCAGATAATATTGAATCTGGCGCAAAAGATACTGCAGACAATATTGAAACCGGCATTCAAGAAGCAGCAGATAATATTAAATCCGACATTCAAGCGGCAGCAGATAATATTGAATCTGGCGCAAAAGATACTGTAGATAATATTGAATCCGGCATTCAAGAAGCAGCAGATAATATTAAATCCGATATTCAAGCGGCAGCCGATAATATTGAATCCGGCATTCAAGAAGCAGCAGATAATATTGAGTCTGACATTCAAGCGGCAGCCGATAATATTGAATCCGGCATTCAAGAAGCAGCAGATAATATTGAATCTGGCGCAAAAGATACTGTAGATAATATTGAATCCGGCATTCAAGAAGCAGCAGATAATATTAAATCCGACATTCAAGCGGGAGCAGATAATATTGAATCTGGCGCAAAAGATACTGTAGATAAGATTGAATCCGGCATTCAAGAAGCAGCAGATAATATTAAATCCGACATTCAAGCGGCAGCAGATAATATTGAATCTGGCGCAAAAGATACTGCAGACAATATTGAAACCGGCATTCAAGAAGCAGCAGATAATATTAAATCCGACATTCAAGCGGCAGCAGATAATATTGAATCTGGCGCAAAAGATACTGCAGACAATATTGAAACCGGCATTCAAGAAGCACCAGATAATATTGAATCGTACATTCAAGCGGCACCAGATAATATTGAATCTGACGTAAAAGATACTGTAGATAATATTGAATCCGGCATTCAAGAAGCAGAAGATAATATTGAATCTGGCGTAAAAGATACTGTAAATAATATTGAAGCCGGCATTCAAGAAGCAGCAGATAATATTGAAACCGGCATTCAAGAAGCAGCAGATAATATCGAATCCGGCATTCAAGCGGCAAAAGATACTGCAGATAATATTGAATCTGGCGTAAAAGATACTGTAGATAATATTGAAACTGGCATTCAAGAAGCAGCAGATAATATTGAATCTAGCGTAGAAGATACTGTAGATAATATTGAATCCGACATTCAAGCGGCAGCAGATAATATTGAATCTGGTGTAAAAGATACTGTAAATAATATTGAATCCGGCATTCAAGAAGCAGCAGATAATATTGAAACCGGCATTCAAGAAGCAGCAGATAATATTGAATTCGGCATTCAAGAAGCTGCAGATAATATTGAATCCGGCATTCAAGCGGCAAAGAATACTACAGATAATATTGAATCTGGCGTAAAAGATACTGTAGATAATATCGAATCCGGAATTCAAGAAGCAGCAGATAATAATGAATCTGGCGTAAAAGATACTGTAGATAATATTGAATCCGGCATTCAAGAAGCAGCAGATGATATTGAATCCGGCATTCAAGCGGCAAAAGATACTGCAGATAATATTGAATCTGGCATTCAAGAAGCAGCAGATAATATTGAATGTGGCGTAAAAGATGCTGTAGATAATATTGAATCCGGCATTCAAGATGCAGCAGATACTGTAGATAATATTGAATCTGGCATTCAAGATGCAGCAGATAATATTGAATCTGGCGTAAAAAATACTGTAGATAATATTGAATCCGGAATTCAAGAAGCAGCAGATAATATTGAATCTGGCGTAAAAGATGCTGTAGATAATATTGAATCCGGCATTCAAGATGCAGCAGATAATATTGAATCTGGCGTAAAAGATACTGTAGATAATATTGAATCTGGCATTCAAGATGCAGCAGATAATATTGAATCTGGCGTAAAAGATACTGTAGATAATATTGAATCCGGAATTCAAGGAGCAGCAGATAATATTGAATCTGGCGTAAAAGATACTGTAGATAATATTGAATCCGGCATTCAAGAAGCAGCAGATGATATTGAATCTGGCGTAAAAGATGCTGTAGATAATATTGAATCCGGCATTCAAGATGCAGCAGATACTGTAGATAATATTGAATCTGGCATTCAAGATGCAGCAGATAATATTGAATCTGGCGTAAAAAATACTGTAGATAATATTGAATCCGGAATTCAAGAAGCAGCAGATAATATTGAATCTGGCGTAAAAGATACTGTAGATAATATTGAATCCGGCATTCAAGATGCAGCAGATAATATTGAATCTGGCGTAAAAGATACTGTAGATAATATTGAATCTGGCATTCAAGATGCAGCAGATAATATTGAATCTGGCGTAAAAGATACTGTAGATAATATTGAATCCGGAATTCAAGAAGCAGCAGATAATATTGAATCTGGCGTAAAAGATACTGTGGATAATATTGAATCCGGCATTCAAGAAGCAGCAGATGATATTGAATCCGGCATTCAAGCGGCAAAAGATACTGCAGATAATATTGAATCTGGCGTAAAAGATACTGCAGATAAAATTGAAACTGGCATTCAAGAAGCAGCAGATAATATTGAATATGGCGTAAAAGATACTGTAGATAATATTGAATCCGGAATTGAAGAAGCAGCAGATAATATTGAATCTGGCGTAAAAGATACTGTTGATAATATTGAAACCGGCATTCAAGAAGCAGCAGATGATATTGAATCCGGCATTCAAGCGGCAAAAGATACTGCAGATAATATTGAATCTGGCGTAAAAGATACTGCAGATAATATTGAAACTGGCATTCAAGAAGCAGCAGATAATATTGAATCTGGCGTAAAAAATACTGTAGATAATATTGAATCCGGAATTCAAGAAGCAGCAGATAACATTGAATCTGGCGTAAAAGATACTGCAGATAATATCGAATCCGGAATTCAAGAAGCAGCAGATAATATTGAATTTGGCGTAAAAGATACTGCAGATAATATTGAATCCGGCATTCAAGATGCAGCAGATAATATTGAATCTGGCGTAAAAGATACTGTAGATAATATTGAATCCGGAATTGAAGAAGCAGCAGATAATATTGAATCTGGCGTAAAAGATACTGTAGATAATATTGAAACCGGCATTCAAGAAGCAGCAGATGATATTGAATCCGGCATTCAAGCGGCAAAAGATACTGCAGATAATATTGAATCTGGCGTAAAAGATACTGCAGATAATATTGAAACTGGCATTCAAGAAGCAGCAGATAATATTGAATCTAGCGTAAAAAATACTGTAGATAATATTGAATCCGGAATTCAAGAAGCAGCAGATAACATTGAATCTGGCGTAAAAGATACTGCAGATAATATCGAATCCGGAATTCAAGAAGCAGCAGATAACATTGAATTTGGCGTAAAAGATACTGCAGATAATATTGAATCCGGCATTCAAGATGCAGCAGATAATATTGAATCTGGCGTAAAAGATACTGTAGATAATATTGAATATGGAATTCAAGAAGCAGCAGATGATATTGAATCCGGCATTAAAGCGGCAAAAGATACTGCAGATAATATTGAATATGACGTAAAAGATACTGTAGATAATATTGAATCCGGAATTCAAGAAGCAGCAGATAATATTGAATCTGGCGTAAAAGATACTGCAGATAATATTGAATCCGGAATTCAAGAAGCAGCAGATAATATTGAATCTGGCGTAAAAGATACTGTAAATAATATTGAATCCGGAATTCAAGATGCAGCAGATAATATTGAATCTGGCGTAAAAGATACTGTAGATAATATTGGATCCGGCATTCAAGAAGCAGCAGATGATATTGAATCCGACGTAAAAGATACTGTAGATAATTTTGAATCTACCGTTCAAGATGCAGCGGGGAATGTTGAATCGGACATTAAAAGTATTATAAATAATATTGAAATGGGCGTTCAAGAAGAAGAAGATAATATGGAATCTGACGTTAGAGATTTAGCAATTAATATTGAATCCGACAGTAAACGTGCACATTCGGAAAGACCAACAGAAGTCGAAATGAAAGAATCTGATATTAAATTTGATTCCATTTCATCGGATGTAACTGATTCTGCCGACTCTCAGGTTACTGTGATTGAAAATGATTCTGCAAATAATTTTCTTAATGAGAATAAATTGTTGGAATCTGGTGAAAATACTTCTGAAAGTGAAATGATGTCTTTAATAAACGAAACAAGCAAAATAGATTCAAATCCAAATAATGATTTTGAAATGATTAATTCCGTAGAAGACAGAAGTGCCATGGAAAATGATAATGAATTTGATTCAGAGTTCAAAAATGAAACATCACCAAATGAGCAATTTTCCAGAGAAGCTCAGGCTACAACACGCACAAGTGTCCGAAGTATGTTTAATAATATGAATAGACCAGCAAATATATTATCGGCATTGAGTGCAAAGCAGAATATGTCCAAAAATATTCAAGATAAACTTTATTCGAAGCGAACTAAAGAAGTCGCAGATGATATCAGCGGCATCAATATTAAAAATGTAGTCTCGACAAGAGCTCGACATATGACATATAAACAAGATACTATTACAGACAATAAAACTAAGTTTGTTGAGAAAACATCAATAAAGAAAAACGCTTCGTCAAGAACTGAATCTAAAACAACTACAATTAAATCTAGCAAAGTCGTAAACACCAAACAAAGTTTTGAGTCAAGTACAAAAGCAAGTATAACAAAATCGCGTAATAAATCTGTTTTGGAAAAAACTAATTTATCTGTTCGCGCTACAAATAAACCACTGAATATCAAAAATGCTTCGACTGAACAACCTGTTCATAAACCTACTAAAAGAAATATGGAAAGCTTAGCGAAAAGTGATTCTAAAGAAAAATCAAAAAGTCAAGTGAAACAGAATACCTTACAGAACAAGTTGAATGTAAGACCAAAAAGGAGCATTAGCGTTGATACAGGCAATAACAAAGCTTCTAAAAGAGATTATGAAGCAAAACCATCGAATAAAATTAATGAAACATTTATTATTAAAAAGACTTCCAAGCCAACTGTGAAACCAGCATCAATGGATCAAACTGAAGAAAGTTTAATAAAAGTACCAACACATAAGGCTAAAGGAGTTGAAGATATGAAATTTATGGATAAATCGATTACCGATGAAAATTTATTAGTCAATGGTTTTACTGATAGTGAAAAGGATACAGCAGATCAAAAATTTGATTTAGAATCCAATGAGTTGGAAACCTCTGAAAAAGAATTTTCTGATACAACAAAAAATAAATCCCAAACATCAGATGAGCAAATTATGAAAATGGAACCAAATGAAAATTTAGTTGACAAAAATTCTTTGGATAAACAATTGACTATCGAAGAACCTATTTTCATTCAAACGCGTGTTGGAATCAAAAATGATAATAAAGACAACATTGACGAAGTCATAGATAGAGAGAAAACATTAGAAAATTTTATAGATATATTAAATACAGGTGAGACGTTTGATAAATCTAATAAACATTCTCATAATATAAATGCAGATGATAGTATAAATTCAAACATAACAAATACAGATATGGTAACAAATAACTCTACTACAGAAAATGATTATAACATAGAACCTGAATGTATATCAGTGAAAGTAAATGAGGGAAACAAAATATCAGATGGGGTTGATCAAATTCTAAAAGATGAACAAGGAAATATAATTGAGCGAGATGTAGCTTTAGCAAAGATTGCTCAAGTTTTAGATTTACCGAATACAAGTGATAATGAAGATTTGAAAACTGTTGATACCAAAGAAAATCTTGTTTTAGATAAAGAAAGATCTATAACTGATAAAAATATCACTGAGAACAAAGGTGAAGCAAACACTGATTTAGATCAAAATTGTTCAGTCAACGACGATGAGAAAGAAACAACAGCCATAGAAACTAATTCTGAAGATTTACCATTTATTAACACTAAAAATCAAGCAGTTGAACAAACTGTTTTTAATAATTCTATGCCAGGTCAGCATGATACAGTAGAAGATGCAAACCTAACTATAAGTAAAAGTTTTAAAGAGATATTAGAATTAACCATGAAGTTTCTTTCAAATGAACAAATTTATTACCAAAATTCTCTTAATACTTTCATAGAAAAACCGCAAGTTGCAAAGGTAGTTCTAAATGAAATTGAATCCGAAGCGAATGCTATGGAATCCGAAAATGTCGACACGGTTTCTAAATTACCCATTGATGATACAATTGAAAAAATCGATGAAGAAAAGTTGAAGGATGATGAAGACAATGATCTAGCTTCCAATATCTCTGATAAAAATAAAACCGACAATGATATCATTGATACCAAATCTGAAAGTTCAGAAACACCACAAATTTTCATGGATGAAAAAGAGCAAGATTCAAATTCCACATCAAAGATTCCTGATCAGAATAACGTGGAAAGTACCGAAAATTTGCCAATAGAGGAATATAATCTAAAGCAGCATGAGTTAAAAATTGCAGGTGCCAAAAGTGATATCGAAACTATATCAGGAAATGTAGTACAAAATAAAAATGATCCTTTGTTTACTAAATTTACTCAAGATTTTCTTCTAAATGAACGAAAGTTATATGAAGACTCAAAACAAAATCAACATATTGATTTTGAAAGTAATAAAGATATTGAGAAAGAAAATGAAACGTTGGTAAGTGAAAATGTTATGACAAGTGATGATTCAAAAGCATTAATTGAAGAATCGACCACAAACAATCAGGTAGAACAGGCGGAATCTGCTCTTGTACAAAAAACTTATGTTAACTCTGGCGTTAGTAATGATGAGGACAAAAATACATTGCAAAAGGTTACAACAGATAATAAGAATGATGAAGATACTTCTACAATCGATGAAAAATTAATTAAAACTTCATCCAATAATAATGATATTTTGTTTACTGAATTTACTCAAAATTTTCTTCTAAATGAACGAAAGTTATATGAAGACTCGAAACAAAATCATCATATCAATTTTGAAAGTAATAAAAAAGATATTGAAAAAGAAAATGCAACTTTGATAAGTAAAAATGTTATTACAAATGATGATGATTCAAAATCAATGATTGAAGAATCGACCACGAACGATCAGGTAGAACCAGTTGAAACTCTTGAAAAAAAAGCTGATGTTAACTCTGACCATAGTAACGATGAGTACAAAAATATATTGGATAACGATATAACAAGCAATAAGAATGATGAAGATGAAATGACTATAAGTTCTGATGAAAAAACGAACAGTCAAAATTATATTGAAACATCAAGATGTAACCATCACCACCACCACCACCACGAAAACGGATACTCATATGAAGATTCAGGCGATATGTCGTCTTTGGATTCAGAAAATTGGGATGTCATCACAAAAACAATTGTAACAATCGAGGAAATTGATGATACAGATTCTGAATGTGATTTCAATAATAGCCAATCTAGTGAAGAAAGATATGAAACAAGAGATTTTGTGTTTGATAAGCAGAATGTAAAGCAAGAAAATAAATCTACCCCCAAGAAAGATGTACCTGTTCCTTATATGGTTACAAATTACATCAATAACATGGCGGCTATAGTGACTCATATACATGATATAGACCCTGAAAAAATCAGTGAAGTGAAATTTAAATTAAAAATGAATTCGATTTCAGCAACGCCTCTGTCTGAAAACCCTGAAGAGGCAAATGTGGACGACGATCCCAATCGGGATCGTGGTATTTATATTCCTTTAAGAGATTACACCGACGAATCATCTGGTGACACTGACGATAATGAAGTACATAAAATAGGTAAATATTTAAAGAGTGCCCGAATTATTTATTCGGAAAATTTGGTTTATGTACGTATCTTAACATATATGTAAACCAGATTATTTACCTAGGTTATTAGCGTGGACATTTTTTAATTAAATTTGTCATGGTACGTTTTACATAAAAGAATATTCGAAGCGCATTATTTAAATCTTGTGATGGACATTATACTCCAGTTCCGTAAATAAAGCACGTATTTCTATTTATACATAGTTACTAAAATACTTTTATAGAAGATATAAGCGTAAAATATTGTAACGTCAGTAATTTCTAGTAAAATAATAATAATAAATTCAAAAACTAATTCGTATTGCATGTTTATTTATATTCGGAATTAGTAATCGTAGCAATTTATTACCAGAATGATTATAACATTTAATTGAACATGCATCTTTGTAAATGAATTGTTTAGTCAACATTCTATTAGTAGATACAAAACTATTTATTTGGCATGTTGCATTTATGCTCGTACAAGTAATCAATCTATCCAATTTATTTACATCTTTGTAATTAATTTATATCGTATGGATTGACTGATATTTGCATGAATTAGTGTAAATTAAATAACATATATTTATTACGTCTTTCTTTTTCCAGATTTGATAATAGTAATTATAAATGGAGTATTAGGTAAAATTTGATCTTTTAGACTTAGCTTTTCGTTGATCGATTTTAAGCATTGAAACCAACCTCTTAAAAGATGACAGAAAAAATATTGATTGAGTACGTTAATATTGAATGAAAAATAATAAGTTATAATTATGTAACCATGCAAACTTTTTTATCAAATCATTTTTAAGATACTATCAAATTATTGCTAAAAAAGTTACCAATATTTAAATAATAATTAAAAAACATTAACTTAACTTTGAGTATTTTAATACATTTCAAATTGAAAACTTTCTTTTACTTTTTAGTTATCCTGGTATATATATTATAGGAACATATGATTTTCGGATACTATATAGATCAAAATAAGATACTTTGTCCAAGAAACCATATCTCTAAAATGAATTCTGATGTGAAAGATTGGGTCAAATTTTGAAAAACCCTGTTTTGGCTGTGTCCAAATGTATGACCGACCCCCACTAACTTTGGAAGGCCGATCTACCCATCTCTATGGTTCACCCCCTGGGACCTTCCATAAGAGGTCCCCATACCAAAATTGCATCATTTTTGGTACTTCAACATGAAAAAATTCAGCCATTTATTTTTATTATAAAATTTATTCAATCTTAACATATGTAAATAAAACTATGTAAAACTCATAAATTATTGCTTAAAGTCTTTTTTGGTTTCAAGTCTGGAAAATTTTGCACGACTCTTTAACGTCGTCGCCATAACAGCCTCTAGCACAGAAACGCTGAGATAAAATGCATTGGAAAAATTGAAACAATAAAATTTTAATAATTTTTTTTTTGTAAAAGAGTTTTTTTGTGTGTGTGTGTATGAATTAATATCCAAAAACAATTTTTGCTGAGTAAAATACCAAAAACCGTAATTTTTTGCAATTTTTGTATGAAAGACCTCTAAGTGGAGGTTCCAGGAGTTGAACCATGGGCATGGGTGGATCAGTCTTTCAAAGTTAGTGGGGGTCGGTTATACATTTGGACGCGATTGGGGCACTCTAAATGGGCCAAAACGGATTTTTTCAAAATTCAACTCTTATCTTTAGGTCTGTACTTTTGTTACGTAGTATTCAGGTTGTTGGGTTATAATTTAACCCTTGTAGCTGTGGACTGTATTAAACACTGATTTGTTTGTATATTATGCATTGATTTGTGACTAAGTTATAATGAAAGAAGATATATTTATTTTTATTAGTTATTTACATGTTGTTAAGCGGACTTTACTTTTAGAAGTATACAACTAGTTCAATTAAAACACTCCGCTACCCCCTCCACCAGGGGTAGCAACCATTCCGTGTAAAGCTTAATGCATTGATGTTTGTCACCTTCATCGCCAATATAATAAAACGAAAAGACGTCCGAACTAGGTCAATGCTCGAGACATCAGAATTCATTTTAGAGGTATGGTTTTTTCAGCAGAGTATTTTATTTTGATCCCTAGTATCCAAAAATCATATGTGTCTGAGCAACTTTTAAATCGACCCGCCCTAGGATAACATAATAAATCTATTTATGAATAAGTATAATATAATTCGTTGTGCTTGTTGAAAAGTTGTGTTCTATACTTTTCAACAAGCACAACGAATACTTATAACAATTTATAATAAAATTGTTATTGAAAAAAATAGTTGAAACAGAATTATTAATAATTTATGAATATGTGAGATACAATTCTGATAAAAAAATCATTAAATATATAGAAATTGCTTATAAATAAAATTCAAAATATTTATATAGTATAATCAACATCTGTGAGTCATTTACATCCGCAACGCAGACATTAATTGCTGTCATAAACATTTTAAATTATTATTGATATTATTTTAGTATAAAGTTCTATGTATGTCCATGCAGAAAATAGCGCGGAGGTCGCTGCTGACACCGGATTTTCAGAAAAGAAACCGGAAGCATCAATGTTGCCTGTGAAGGACGAAAATGAGCCAAATGTTACTGTAGTCACTATTGAGAACTTAACAGACGGTACGTTAACTGTCGACTTTAAATCTTAATGTTTTACGTTTGACGCACTCAATGTCATTCCAATGAAATATATACATCTCGCACAAATCAACTTGGGAATACTTGCTAATAGTAACAGAGCTGATAACCTTATTGCCCGTACCAAAAAGCTAGTAACGATTTACTGTTTAAAGGTTACCACACCTTTGTGTGTAAAATCCGAGACGGAAACTTATAGCGGGTGAAAGTAGTTTTGAATTTTAGTTTAATAAAAAAAATATACATAACAATATTATTTAAAGATATTATAATAAGTAAGTTTTAATTTATACAAAATATATTTTTAATCAGGATTACTAAGTGTAAAACTTATAAAAAAAATGATTTTCTTTACTATTGAACATTTTTAGAATATATTTTTAAGTTTCAAGAACTTTATAATAATCTTGATCATTTGCTTATATGGTTCATATTAAAATAAATCGTATTTAAAATAAATTTCAAAAGTTTGCCAAATCCTGGCCAAAAAACTGAATCCAGGTCAAATATTGCTTCTGAAAAAATCCGGGTCGCAAGTTGTACTTCCGGAACGTATAGTCACCTTATAGTTTATGAATTATAAGTTAATTTATATTTATAAAAATATATTATCATTATATTTTATTTATATTATTATAAAATAAGTAGAAAATTAGATAAGAAACAGTTCTTATTTATCATGATAATAGAAATGTTAGAATTATATATAAGATTTCTGCAACTGTTCAGTATTTGCTTCAGGAGCTATGTTATAAATTAAATAAATGAATAAAGATATTCAATACATTGATTTAGTTACTATATCCATCAGTATGAATTAAACTTTGATCTCGTTATTATAATGAACAATCATTAAATAAACTCAAAGAAAGGGATAACGGCTGATTAAACAAACTTTTATTCATAAATACTTATTTTTCGTAATTTTTATTCAAGATAATTATAAATGATTATACCTAACACGGTTTTGTTTAGAAAAATTAAATAAAATTTATATTTCAGCAATAAAATATCAAAAATTTTCCTACTATATTTCTACTCATTCAGATTTAACTCATATAGTTCTGTTTCAAATTAATTTAGACTTACAGCTCTTTTGCTATTAATAAGTACCTAATTTAGATAAATAAGGTTTAAAAATGTTTTCTATGCTAGAGCACGCATATTACGCTTCTTCGGTGTGGTGTTATTTTAGGTTCAAAAATAACTGAGGTCTATGAACTTAATAAAAATTTGGAAGTGAATGTATCTACAGTAATTATTTACTTTAGATAAATTTAAATTTTAATTAAATTTAAATCTAAATTATAATTTAATTTTGAAATATATGATTCCAAATATCAAAACTAAAATTATATAACAAAATATACTTAGTTATGCTACAAACTGTTAAAAAGTAGTTTTTTCATTAAAAATGTCAAAACTAAGACCATGTGCCCATAAAATTAGACCTAGGCATTTGTTTTATTTGTTATAACACATATTTTGGTGTGTACATGCAAACAATAATAACGAAATTCTGTAGATGAGACATAGATAATATTACTAAAACTTTGTAAATGATCACAATTATTGCATTAAAATATTTAGAAAATCGCTTTTATTTTATCATTTTAAAATATCATTTTATCTAGTTATCAAAAGATATATTAATCGAGTATCACTATTCAAATATTATACTAAATACGATTTGCGGTGGAGACGCCCTGTACATTTTAGAGGTAGTTTTCATAAGCCTTTATATTAAATATCTTTACCGACTAGTTATATATATTTTATCCAGCATCATTTTCACCTAAGTATTGAAACAAACTAAATAAAACATTTAAAAACTTAGAGTGAATAAAATTCACATGGCAAATGGGTATTAAATATAATATTAGCAACGGAATAGTAGATTTTCAAATTGAATTATACGAAATTATGAAATGCAGAAATTAATTTGAATCTTATTAAAGTTTTGAAATAGTTATATTTTCAGTATAATTGTCAAACGTGGATATAAGGTGTAAGGTTTCTCAAAGCATTTGCTTCTTTCTTAGAAATTAGATCAGTACTGTATTATTTGAGCTATAATTACGTTATTTTACTGACGCAAGAAATGGCCCACTTGAAAATTTATTTTTGAAAATTACTGTCACTATGATGAATTACATATTTCACGTATTTATAACAAAGAGATAAAATAGATATGTTAACTCAAACATCCGATAGAAAAATATGAAAGTATTCAGAATGATTGAAGTGTTGAAATTAATATTATTTTTAATCTTCACTCATAAATGTGAATGCCTATTTATTATTTCTAGATTTTGGGGTTGAACATTCAAAATTTTGTTATTTTCTACCATCCATAAGTTTTAGAAAGATCTTAACTAAATCTAGATTTGGTAATTCATAAATTATGTTAAAGATCTGCATTTCGCTATTTCCAAAAAGCATAAATAGTTTCACAAGATGATATGTTTCTCCACCCACAGATTTTTATAATGTAGGCTTTTTGTATATAAAAGGTGCATGTACTCTGCATAAAAATAGACCTAATAAAAAATTACATGGTCTTGTAATAGATCCAACTTATTAATTTTTCTGACGTTGGAACATGGCACAGAAAATATTGTCTCGCGTCATAAGAATCACAAATAGATCGAGAAATGCGTCATAGTATATGATACACACATCAAATTGTATTGCTACAAATCAATCTGTCTATTTGAATTAAAATAATATTTTGTTGCAGCCACGAATAAAGGATATCGAACTATTTTATAAGTTCTAAGATGTTTTTATCTAGCTCGAAACCGTTGGTAAAAATACTTATTCGATTGGTTGCTTTTTTATATATTCTCATTTTTACTAGCAATCAAATGAGCTAGTTTTTCTGCATTATTTTGATGGTAACGGTTAATAGATTATATTATTCTTATCAGATGCAACAATTCCCGGAGAAGACTATTTTTACCTAGAAATACTTTTTACGCCTATCGAAATGAAAATTAATATCGCTACAACTCGATATCAAGTTGTCCGTAAACCTTGGCCCTGTATGATTTCTAACTTTCATTGTTGCTTATTTTATTCATTATTATAAATTTCAATCATACCAATGCAAATCATTTTTCTACTCATCAATTATATAATTTTCCCAACCTCAGCTGAAATTCTGATAGCTAAACCCTAGAAATTAGAATTCCTTCTAACTTGAGTTAGTAGGGCGAAACAGCCATAAGATACAGAAATATTAACAGATAGATTGAAGGTTATGGAATGAATAACAAAATAAAACGATAATAAAATAAATTCATTCGAAATCTTTGGGTATAAAATCATTAAACAGACAGTAATATCAACAAAACATAAATAAACTTTTCCTGACTGTTTTCGGTTATTGTCCGCCACGCTTCATTGTCTTAAAATTAGATATATAGCTTTATTTACGGCTCGTGTCATGGCTTTGTTTTAATATTCAACAATACTTTATACACCAATGACGTAAGAAAACTTTGATTTATTATTGTCTCGACGATGCCGATCTAATTGCAGTCAATTTATGAATCAAACGTACTCTATACAATAGTATTTTAAATATAGATACAAATTATTAAATCAATACGATGATAGCATTGTTATGAATTTTTGAACTTTGCTTCTCACATGCTACATCCTACATATTGGAGATTGTCTCTCATGATCAGAAGTCATAGACCGAAACAAATTGAGCAATTCCTATTACAATGATCATTCTGAATAAGATAATTTTGATGTCTGCAGAAGGTCTTGATTGCGATTTAGAAGTTTGGAAAAAACTGAAAAAGGGGCCGTTCAAGTATTACGTAAGCACTATAGGGGGGCGGGGGGGTTATTGATTTGCTTATTTTGGGTAAGAACTTTTGCTTACTTTTGCTGACAAAGGAGAGGGGGAGGGGTTAAATAATTGTAATAAATCTGCTTACGTAATACTTGAACGATCCCAAATTATATATTTTTTAAAAACTTCCGAATAATTATCTACAATTGCAGATATTGCATTTTTATAAGAGCATTATTAAGATATTTTTATCCATGATATTATGAGATTTATAGTATGTTGCGTAATATAATTTAACGACTTGGACGTGAACTTGATAATGAAATTAAACATGCAAAAGAATTTATAACTCACGTTGCTTAAGATTTTTAATATGATTTTTATGCAATGTGGTCTTAAAGTTTTCAAGTTTATAAAAAATAAAAAAATTAAAATAAAATATTTAAAAATGCTGGTAATATATTTATTCTAAATAAAACTTTTCCGATCGAAGTAAATTCATATGGAATTCATAAGGATATACGAGGACCTCATCAGTTGAATTGAAATAGTTTTTTTTTCATCGCGCAATAGCAAATAATCATGCAAATTAAGTATTAGTCATAAACCTTAAAAACTAGTTCAATATATTTATAATAATCAAGTGAAAAGCCTCGATAATAGTAACAGCAAAAGCTTTTGTAAATACAGCGATTTTTTTTCATGAAAATATAATGCTTTGATATAATAATATTCCCACAAATTTTTAATACAATTCTCTATTGAAAAAGTCTTTTTTAGAATCGTAATTTTGGATTATTGCCACAGCAAGTCTTTTTACATTAAGTTATTCATAAGTTGGCAAATGTACTATTGGCTGTATCGAATGTTATACAATTTTGGCAAACTGTAAGTAGTAACAATTTTGCCATTTGCTATACAAAACAAAAACGTATCAGCTCGACAATTACATTAACTTTCACGTTCACCTTCAGCGTTTAGAGAGAATATCTCGAACTCAAAAGTTGAACCATCTTTAAACATCTTCAAAAAAACTATATGTTTTTGCAAAAAATTATATACAATTTCCGTTTTAGTCTGTTTTTAAAAATATAGTTTGAGATTAATTGTTAGTAAGATCAAAAATATTCTGCAATATTTGGCGCTTATCAATAAATGTTACTGCCAATATAAAACCATAAATAGCATTTGTTCTGAAAACAA